ATCGCTGCCATTTTTAAAAGCTTTCGTGCACGCTTAGTGTAGCCGCAGAGTCACATACATAGGATGTTACACAGATAACGGGCTTTGCTCCAGCAACTTGAAATCCAAGACCAAGAGCTCTGACAGTAAGCTGTGACGTGCTAATGTGCGCACCTTAAATGTGGCTGTTAATTAACTGAGCAAACAAATTGCATGAAGAGCATTTACTGACTTTGGGAAAGGGCTCGTTTTCAAACAGATTGGAAGTATCATTTACATATAAGCCAAATCAGCAAAGCAGACTTCAGGACTAAGCTGCTTCGGTCCACTGACCATCTTATCTACACATTAAGAACGTCTTTACAGGGCATTTAGAATTGTTTCTTTGCAAACCGTAAGGTCAGAATCATTTGAAGTCTGTAATTCTGATTTGCTCGTAAGCCTTCTACGTTGGAGGACATTGATGAAATTCTTCATTTGATAGCAAGAAGGCCCTAGATTGTCAGGCTAATTCACTTCCTCTGTGCTACAGAGGCGGAGGCAAAGGCACTAGGTGGTAAATGTCATAGGGAGGGCATTTGCTCTTATCCATCATAGCAAACCTACTGCCCAGCAGTGTCTGGTATGCTCAATATTTACTTTTTAATGTGTTTATTATTTGTGTATTTATTTATTTAAGGTACTGGGGTCTGAACCCAGGGTCTTTGCACTGAACTACATGCCCAGTCGTTTTTTAGTTCGAGGCTCATTCATGTTAAGCTCTTCAATGGCACCAGCCATGCTTGAGCTTGCAGTCCTCCTGCCTCAGCCTCCCAGAATGCCTGCATTACAGGCATGTGCCACCAGGTCCAGTGCTCAGTAAATATTTGCTGAGTATCAGAACTGCTTTAGAAGCTGAGGATTCTGAGATGGATCCTGTGCTCTAGCCCAAAGTAAACTGAGGTTTTCTCAGACTCCTCCATGGGTTCCACAAAAATGTGTTTCAAGAAGTACTTTCAGGGTCAGGAGTGACTCTCGAGGTGGAAGGAATGGGGGTCACCACCACAAGCAGAAGGGAGAGGGAGGGGGGTATCCACCAGATCAGACTCTCAGCAGTCAAGTGTGTGCTTCCCCACTGGGGGACGGCAACTGGGTCAAAACGTTATTTGCTGCCACTGTGCCCCCTGATCCTCTCATCTCTACCCAAGGCCAACTTTCTTTCTCTTCCTTTTGCTCCCTGCTACCCCATTCCTCCTTCTTCCCACTTCACTTTTTTTTTTTTTTTAGATAGAGTCTCACTGTATTTCTTAGACTGGCCTCAAACTTGCAATTCTCCTGCCTCAGCCTCTTGTGTACCTAAGATTACAGGTACATGCCACCACACCTGGCTGTTTCACCCAAGATTTTAAAGGGCCATGTGTCTCCAGTGGTGGCCCAGTCATACAGTAGAAAACACAAGGGCTTTGGGTCTGACTTGTAATCCTGACTCTGGAGCTACTAGAAAGTCTTTGACCCTCATTGGTCCCCAGTGTGTGTGTGTGTGTGTGTGTGTGTGTGTGTGTGTGTGTGTGTTCTAAATAAACTCATAAAATCCCTTCTTTCCATGCCCACAAAAACTCCCAAGTTTCCGAAGGGAGTGAACTTGGTAATGGAGCCTGATGGGTGGTGGCCGATCTGAGAAACTAGACTCTCACCCCGGAGCCACCTCTGAGGTCAGGCATCTCTGCCATTCCCCTGTCCCTCCTGGGAGGCCCCAGCTCAGGGTTAAAGGGCCAAGTTGCTTTAGAAAGTTCAATCAATCCCAGCTGCTTCAAACATACAGTTTATAAACAGTACCAATTACAGACATTCTATATTAAACTGTGTATTTCTTTGAGATATTAAAATATAAATTATGCAACAGAGATAAATTGATAGGAATTTTCCATATGAGTAAAGAGAGCTGTAGTCCCTCCTTCTAGTGAAATATTAGTGGAGGTGGACAACCAGGAGTTGGGGAAGTTGGCCTTGCTGTGGTCACAAAGAGACCTCGATGAGTGGGCAGTAGGAAAACTGGCCGGCAGTGTGAAAACAACGCATTCACTATGAAAGCAGCAGCGCCAAGTATGTGCTTGGTGACCTCTTCTTTTAATTACAACGCAAATCTAATATAGCAAGTATGGGATTACCAGTATCTTCCCAATAACAGGTCCCTTCCGGCTGTCACTTGTGCCCCACCACTGTCTCCCAATACTCAGCAGGACAGGAGAGTGGCTTTGGCTGCCGTATGGAATTGGCCAGGTGGAAGCCACACCTTCTGTCATCTTCTGTGACACCCTCCCCCCCACCCCCGCCAGATAGTGCCTTCACTGCTGACATACCAGTGTGAAAGAGACAGTATTTTTGATTTTAAACCAACAAATATATGATTTTGAGACTTTGGTCAAGGTCCTTTACACCTGGTCACCACATATAGTATGTCCTGAAGTTCAAATGCAGCCAGTGCTTTTCTGCCAAACAATTTGGGGTTTTTTTGGTACCAGGACTCAGGACCTTGCTCAATTGTATGCCATGTACATTTTACCATGATTAAAGAAAACAAAAGTCCTGTATTACTCAGACCCGTGCTTCTGAGACAGTAACACATCCACCACCCCTTCTGCCCCCATGTGCCCGGCTATGGGGTCCACCCTTCCTCAGTGGCTGCTACCCATGGTGTCCTCTCCTGGACACTTGATTCCGCGACAGGAATCCACTCTCCTGTCCTGCTGAGTCTTGGGGGACAGTGGTGGGACACAAGTGTCAGCTGGAAGGGACCTGCTTTTGGGAAGACAGTGGTAACTGCATACTTGCTATATTAAAATTTGCACTGTAATTAAAAGAAGAGGTTGCCAAGCACACACAAGCTGCTTCTTTCATAGAGAAGGCCTTGGACCAGGGGCCCTGGCCCCTCTGAAGCTGCATCCACACTGACCCTTTCTGGGTGGTACAACAGGGGCAGGAAGCCAGTTTCTGATGCGGCTACTTGTGTGTCCTGGCCAGGGCTAGATGGGGTTACCTGAGTGCCCAGGCTACCCAGTAATCTGCTGTCTCTTCAAAGGGGCATCATGACCCATTTATTCACAAGGGGAGTGGGGCACTACTTAACAGTTGAGAGCAAGAGGCAGAAAGTGACTGCTTTCTCCTTGTCTCAGGCAGCCTGCTCCAGCATCAACATTTCCAGCTTAGCAAAATAAAGCCTATGCAGACTTGCAAATGGGCAAGATGCTCAATTGTATGCCATGCTCAATTGTATGCCATGCACCACAATTAAAGAAAAAAAAAAGTCCTGCTTTACTTAGACCCATACTTCTGGGACACTGACACATTCACCACCCCTTCTGCCCCTGTGTGCCCGGCTGGGGGTCCACCCTTCCGCAGTGGCCACTACCCATGGTTCTCTCCTGGAGAGAACTCCTGGTCCCTACTGCTCTCTCCATGAGCTCCCACATCCAGTGATGATGGAGCCACCCTTGTAGATACTACCCTGGACCTGGAGAAGCCAGCAGCCAACAGCTCTGCTCCCCCATGGAAAATTCCAGAAGAGGGTGCTGCCCACTAGAGTAACAATTACTCTATTCAACCTAATCTTAACATTGAAACACTTTGGGGAAAATTATGATAAAATTAAGGCCTTCCCAATGGGGTGGTGAGATTGGGCACAGAGAGAATGGAAGTAGACAAGGAAAGAAAACAAAGAAAGAAGCAACTAAGGGTGCTGAGGCCTTGTGAAGATGTGAACCTGGGCATGAATATGTATTGACAGGGACTCAATAATCTGAGTCAGTAAAATCACAGTTTTACTGCTGCTCCCTTTGGCAAGACCAACAACTTTCCAATCGAAGCCCAAGGCCAAAGCCAAGGGTCCAGCTATATGCACCATCCAACTTTGGAAGAAAACACAAAATAAAACTCCCATCTCTTCCTTCAGCTATATGTTTTCCTAAGTCCCCGCTGATTTATCTATTAAGGAGTAAGCCTCCAGGTACATTTATCTCAGAAAAGAGAAAGAGTTCAGCAATGACATTTAAAAATAAAGCTATCCCCGAGGTAGCTAAGCAATATCTCACAAAAGTCTTCCTAGTGTCTTTCTAGGTCTTTCTAACAATTCAAAATTGTGTTTCTTGACAAGGAAGGATGACTGGAAACACTCCTGGGCAATGATGACGGAGGTCTGCTTTAAATGTGGAAGGCATGATTTCTTCAAGAGGAGAAAGAAACAAAAGCGCCACAGGGAACTTAGGACCAGTCTTCACATCCCTCTCCTGCACACGGTCCCCTCTGAGCCCCTCATGCTGCCTCTGTCTCTCTACATCTTTTTTTTTTTTTAAAGTGGTTACAGTTCTGTCCAATAAGGTAAAGCTGTTTTTTTTGTTTGTTTGTTTGTTTTAGGAACTGGGGATT